ATAGTTTAAAAAATTAAATTATGAACCTGAAATATTAGGTCCTCTGATTTTTCTCTAGAAATATCACTTTCATCATGTCTTAAAAATAATGACTTGGACACTTAGACATCGTACTTTGATTTCTTGAAAGATAAAAGTCTTGCTTTAAAAATTGTTCTAATTTTTACTTATATCTTGGTGTTACGCTCTCTTTTGGCTTTTCTGTGTACCTATTTTTCTATTATTTCAGGGAAAACTTTCATATATCTCTTCTTTAACTTATGGTGGAAACAGAGCAGCTGCTTTGAAGATTGGACTGCAAGGTATATGAGAGAACCATTTCTGCTTAACTTTTTGCTTGTAATCTAGAAATGAGTAACTTTATGTATGTATACATATACACATAAGCACAAAAATGATTTCTAATGAATAATACATGCACACTAGTATAAAAATCTATAGAATGAAAAGTTACTCTTTTCCTCTCAAAAATTTTTCTCCAAAGTCCATCCTTCCCCCTCTCATTGCCTCTGTTTTACTTCAGATTCCTTTGACATCCTATCTAGATTATTACAATAGCTAACTCATCCCATTACTTCTAGTTTCACTAATGTGACTCAAATGGTTTAGCAGACTTTAAAAATGCTACTTTCAGCATGTTATTTATTACCTAGGTGTAGGTGCATGAGATAATTCCTTCTCCCTAGTAACCCTAAAGTAATCTTAAGCTGGGAAGAGCAACCATGGAATACTTGGAGGGCAAAGTAGATCTCATCAGAAGCCTGAAATTGGTTGAACGAATGAAGAGTGGTCTATGGCAGTGAATGGGAAACAAACTGAACTACAACATTTCTACAACGATTGAAAATCAGCTATATATCAGACACAGTTCTAACAGCAGCAACCAAAACAGAGTTCTTACCTTACTGGAGTTCACATTGTACGGGAGTAAATAAATTCAAATAATCACAAAAAGTAATAATGGATCAAAATGTGATTTGAAGAAAAAATAGAGCAGGATAAGGTGGTATGCTTGGTATATTATCCTTTTTATATATTCATAGGTTTGACTTGCTAATATTTTGTTAAGGATTTTTTCATCTAAATCTATGAAAAATATGATCAGAATCTGTCTTATAGTGATTTTGACTGGTTTTGATATGAGGGTAATGCTGTCCTCAGAGGAGAGTTGTTTATAATTCCTCTTCTGTTTTCTGGAAGAATTTATCTAGAATTGTTGTTTCTTCCTTAGATGTTTGTAGAATTCACTAGTGAAACCAGCTGTGCCTGGAGTTTTCTTTATGGGAAAGCTCTAACTCTAAGTTCAATGCCTTTAATTGATAAAGGGCTATTCAGATTATCTTTTTTTTCTTGAGTAAGCATTGGTAGTTTGTGTTTCTAAGGGAATTTATGTGTTTCATCTTGGTTGTCAAATATATTGGCATAAAGTCATTCATAATATACTTTCTATATGCTTCTGATGTTAATAGGATCTGTAGTGATATCCCATTTAGTGGATTAGATAATTTGGTAACCTCTCTCTCTCTCTCTTACTTTTTCCTGATCATTTTGGCTAGAGATGTATTTTATTGATCTTTAAGGTCAGATTTTCTTTTCATTAATTTTTCTGTATTTTTCAGTTTTCAATAACATTTTCTTCTCTGTTAATCTGCTATTAAGTCCAGTCAGAGTACAGTTAACTTCTAATATTATATTTTTCAACTCTGAAAGTTCATCTTAAATTTTTTCATATCTACCAGTTCTCTTCATCTGTTTTCTTCCTTCTTGAACATGTACTTTCAATAACTCTTTTAAAAGCCTCTCTGGTAATCCTATTATCTCTGACATTTCTGGGTTCTTTCCTATAGATTCCCTGCTGCTGTCACCCACACACGTGTTTTTTCTTTCTACATGGTTTACAATTTTTTACTGTGTGCTAGACATTTAGAATTTTATATTATCAAATGTTGGATTTGTCTTTCTTTAAATATTATTTGTCTTTATCTTGGGATACTATCAATTTTCTTGGAATCAGTTTGATTAGCTTTGTTAGTGTGGGTCTAGAGCAGCCTTTATTTTGGGGCTGATTTGGCCTCATCACCAAGGAAATACCTTTATGACATTTTGACTATGGGCTTAGTGTATGAGGATTCCACTCTGGCTGATTGGAACCAGAATAATTCCCAGCCCCACGTGAGTCTCCAAATTGTGCTATCTTATCCTTTCAAATGGTTCTTCCCCTTCCTGGGCTACTTTTCTCCCATGCATTTGGAGATCAGTGCTCAACCAAAGACCCGAAGGCACCCATCTCCAGAGCACCCTGTCTGTGCTGCTCCCTTCCCTTTGAGCGCTCTGTCCTGCAAGCTCTCGCCACCTGGCTGTCCTCAAACCTGAACTCTTCTGAGTTCAGTGAGGCGACTGGGCTTCCTTTGGAGTTCACCTCCACTTTCTGCAGTCTGGAAACCCTCCAGGAAGTGAGCTAGGGCTGTTGCTTGGTTTTCCTTCTCCAAGAGATCACTTTCTTGCACTTCCTGTTGTCTAATGTTTGAAAACAATTGTTTCCTATATTTTTTTCTTCATTTTCTAGTTGCTTTTAGGCTGGAGAGTAAAATCCACTCCCTGTTACTCTCTATCATGGCCAGAAATAGACATCTGATAGGTCATTTAAAATATTAAAGAAGTATGTTATATTTTAATTAGAAGCCACTGTATTTTTGTTTGTTTTTGAGAAACATTAATGTTTCAGTTTTTTTAATATACTTGTTTCGAGGAGTTGGATGAAAGAGGTAAGTGAAAAGAGGCAGTAGGCAGATGTGTGGTAGTTGTTTCTTTGCTGGTGATAGAAGAGCAGATTCGAGAGTTGTAAGTTACACAAAGAAGACTGCAAGTTTTGGAAGGATTTTTCATGTACTTCACAGATGCATGAAAAATCTGATGTGATGGCAGTTTCTTAGAGTAGCTGAATGTTTGAAAGCTGGTAAGAATAAAACCTCCCTCAGATGATACAATAATTGATGGCCTTAGTTCAGCATTTGATTCTAGGAGGTGACCTCTGGGAAATGAAGATAGTGGAGATTCTCTGCCAAAGCTTAGACTATCCAAATTAGCTTCCTTGTAGGATATTCATTTCTCATTTTCCAAGTAATTTTCAACATTAAAATCACAGATCACTCAGTCTTTACACACACACTGCTCTTTTACTCTTCAGTATAGGGATGTTGGAGGAAAAGAACACACTGGTCTGGATTAAAAGTTAATATACTGATAATTGTATGTTACTAGAAGTTCAGTAAAAATGAAATATTTGCAGAGCGATACACTATAAAAATCGAGTAAGTGTATCTTACTCAATTTCTTTTGATTATAAACATGTGAAAATAAATAGAAAGTGATCATCATGTGGTGTTAATGTGGTATTTATAGAAATTTATAAAAGATATTCTGTTTTATAATTTTGGTTTTAATGCCTAGTAGCATTCTGTATATTGTTGTTTGCAATACTTAAGATATTAGCGTGAATTATAAGCATTTTAATTACTCTTCATAATTACATTTTGAAGTAACTGTAGTTTTTAGAATTTAGTTGTCATCAGGTTTCTTTTTGTATCTAAAGCATTTTTCTCTGTGTGTGTGTTTCTCTGTAGAACAAGAAAATTCAAATTCAGAGGTCAACACCATCAATGTATTATTTTTTGGAAAATTAGCAAAGGACTGTGCTAAAGTTTTCTATAAAGGGGTAAAATGTTTTTATATTACTTTATTGTCTTAGAAATAGATTTAGACTTATCAGTGTTATTATATCTATCCTGTAGACCAATTTTTAGAGATTCTTTATATATTTGCAGGTGTATGAAAAATGATACTTAAAAAAGCAGCATCTTTAAAATTGCGACACTCCTAAAAGGTCAATAAAACTTATATTGACATAAAAAGGAACAATTTTTCCTATCACTTAATTTTAATTATCAGTATTCAATAGAATGTCTTAAAGATGTGTACATTTTCTCCTCATTTAAAAAATAATTCTTGTAACTAAAAAATAATGTGAACTATAACTCTATAGGTTTATGATATTTTCTATAATTATTTTAAAAATAAATGTCCGCTAAATCCTCAACAAATAAATGCCTGCCAAATCCTCAACCAAACCAAACCAGCAGCATATAAAAAGGAGTAAACACCATGACCAAAGGGGATCTATCCCAGAAATGAACTGGGTTCAACAGAAGAAAATCAATTATTGTAATACATCACATTAATAGAGCAAAGGGAAAAAAAACCACAAATGATCTCATCTTAATTGATGCAGAAAAGGCATTTGAAAAATCCTACACACTTTCATAATCAAAACAATCAGAAAACTAGGAATGCAAGGGAACATCCTCAATATAATAAAGATCACTTATGAAAAACCCACAGCTAACGTCATACTCAGTGGTGAAAAACTGAAAGTTTTCCTCCTAAGATTAGGGACAGGCAAGGATGCTTGCTTTCACCCCTGCTGTTCAACATTGTACTGGAACTTCTAGCCAGAGCATTTAAGTAAAAAAGAAATAAAAGACATCTAAATTGTAAAAGAAGGAGTGAAACTATCTC